ACGTTGGCCAACCACTCCACGTGGATGACCGGCCGGATGTGCTTGATGTTGAGGAGCGTAGCCGCCTCCTTTTTGATGAACTCCCGCCGTTCGGCTGCCATGTATCTCTTCTTCTGCTGTATGGGCTTGGCATCCGGCCGTACGGCGAGTCTGTGGCAGATGAGGTTGGGGTCTGTCCCGGGCATGTCCTCCGGCCCTCTGGCAAATAGGACTTTGAACCTCCGGAGGACAGCTATGACCCCTTCCTTGATCTCAGGTTCGAGATCGGCGCCGATGGACACCTTTCTGTCCGAAGGTTCATCCAGCTCCACCTCCTCGAGCAGGGCAGCCGGTTCCAGACGAGCGTCGAAGTCAGCTTGCCTGGCTTTCTCAGTGATGCTGTTGACCCGGGCTTCTCGCTCTCTGAACCTCTCCATGGCCTTGGTGTAGCAGGCCCTGGCCATGTGCGGATCCGTGCGGGCGACCCCCACCCCTGTCTCGGTGGGGAATTTGATGCATGAGTGCCGCACGGAGCAGATGGCCTCCAGATCCTCCAAGCCGGGCCGGCCTAAAATTGCGTTGTGGGCACACTTTAGGCGGACCACGACGAACGTCATCCGGATGCGGGTGGTGTGAGGTCCATCCCCGATCTCGACAGGGAGGCCGATAGTACCCTCCGCATCGATGCAGTCCCCTGTGAAGCCAGAAAGAGGGGTACGTAGAGGGGCCAGCTGATCCTTCCTTAGCTTCATCCCTTCGAATGCCTCCCAGTAGAGGACGTTCACGCTGCTGCCCGTATCCACAAGGACGCGTCGGACGATCGCATTGTTGACATCCATGCTGATCACCAGCTCATCCCTGTGGGGGGCCGGTGACATTGGTAGGTCGGCCGGTCCAAAGGTGATGGCCTCTACCTTGTTCCTTTTAGCGGGGGGTGCTGATACGGAGCCCACATAGAGGGACCTTTCAAACTTTTTCCGTTCCGCAGGCGTGTCCCCAGTCTCGGCGCCCCCGAAGATCACCTTGATCTCCAATTTCTTTTTTCCGCCGTTCGGGCCGAGGGACCCCTCCGGACGTTTATCAGCACTCCGATAGTCTACGCCCTTAGGTTCCGCCTCGCGCTGATCGTCGCGGCGCCATGACCGTGATCTCGGGTTCGGCTGCCTCGGGCTATTCCTTTTTAACAGCTGGGTGAACTCGCCCAGGTAGCCTTGCCGGATCAGCTCGTCGATGGCCGTTCTCAGCTGTCTGCAGTTGTCGGTGAGGTGGCCGACCCTCTGGTGGTATTCACAATATGCGGTCTCATCCTGACCCATAAGTGCCTTCTTGTCTTGGGGCTCCCTTAATATGCCCTTGTCCTTGATTGCGTCAAAAATTTGACTGACGGGGTAGGCCAGAGGGACGTGGTATCCCTCTGGGCGTGCGCGGCTGGCCTCCGGATGAGCCTTCCACGGAACCATGCCGCCGTCCGTCTTCTTCTTTTTGCTTGGGGGGGATGGCCCGCCTCCGGGACCGAGTCTATCCGCCAATTTACGGGAGGGGGCGGCAGGCGCGCCGTCCCTCAATCTGATCTCCTCCTCAATGGAGGCGTACTTCTGCGCCCGAGCCAGCACCTCGGTATAGCTGGTGCTGGGGTTCCTCCGAAGGTCCCGGTATAGGTCCCCCGTTGCTAGAGCGCTGGTGAACATGTTCACTCCCAGCCGTTCGTCCAGGTCATCCACCTGGAGCACCTCATCTCTCCACCTGACCAGGAATTGGGCCAGGGGTTCGTCCTTCCCCTGCTTCACACTTGTGAGCGATGTGAAGCTCTTCTTGGGGGTGGTGCTGGCAGCGAATTGTGCCATGAACTGCTGGGACAGCTGTTCGTAATTATCAATAGATCCGGGCCTCAGCTGCCCGAACCATTCTTGCGCCGGACCTCTCAGGGTGCTGAAGAAGAGCCGGCAGATGGCCTCATCAGATGCCCCTAGCATAGAGAGGTTCCCCTGGAAGCTGATCAGGTGGGCCTTAGGATCTCCGGTCCCGTTGTATATTATCCCCTGGGGGGGTCTGCAGTCGCGCGGAATTTCCGCATTCATCACCCTCGGGGTGAAGGGTGAAGTGAGGGAGAAACGCGGCGTGGCTGGGGCGGCCTCCGCCCGTCTGTCCATTTCGGCTAATCGCCGCTCCATTGCCTCTAGCCGGGCCTCCTGTGCGGCCCTTCCGGGGGACACAGGAGGGGCGGCCTCGAGCGCAATGTTCCTTCGTGGGGCAACCGCGTCGGGTTGCCTTCGTGTGATATGGGCGCCATGTCTTTGGAAACGTCGTCCAATATTACTGGCGGCGGGGGTAATGATGGTGCCCCGCTGTTCGGAGGGGACATCCGGCGTGCGTCCCCGGTGATCGTCTTGCCACCCATAGCGGGGGGTGCTGGCGCTGGTGTGCCCCCCAGTTCCATGGGAAGACGGATTCTGACCCAACCTCATGTGGATAGGTGTCCGGCGCTCGGCAGATTCCGCTGTCTCATCCAGGGTCTGCATGCGGCGGACAGGCGATATGGGCGTCCAGATGGTGTTGGCTGAATACACCTCTTCGTTCGCCTCCTGTTCGTCCGCCATCCGGCGCATTGTTTCCGCCAGTTCCCTCATGAGTCGAGGGTCCTGCCTGGTTTCGTGGGGGATGAGATTTGTGAGACCACCCTCACCCCCAGTCGTCCCCAACGTCTCGGAGTATTCCGTGGTTTGCCCGCGGTTGCTTCGTCCGCGGGACAACTGCTCGGAGAGATCGCGTTGGCGGTTGTTTCTTGTCATCGTGCTTGCCTTGGGTAGATTTAGTAACTGTTTGGGAGAGTTTTTCGGAAACTTTTAGTTCAGTTTCCCACAGACGGCGCCAGTGTTGAGGTTTATTCCTTCAACCTTCAGGCCCAACACGTAAGCCCGAAGATTTCGAGTGGAGTGCGTATGAGTAACTAGCCCAACAGACAGATGATAAGGATCAAGAAACAAATAAGTAGCAAGTAAGTGATTAGGTATTATTATCTCTTAATAACTCCCTAATACAATACTTTTTGCTAAGGCTCCGTCGGCCGTTCGTCTTACAAGGCAGTAGAAGTGCTGCGAATAGAATGCTATAGCTAGGGTGCTAAGAATAGAAAGTTGCCAACCCTTTACAATGAAATAAATGCTTCTATTTATACCCGCCAATGGGCAGGTGGCTGTAGTGACGTGGCAGCCTGTGGGCCGCTGGTGTCCCAACTACCAAATCTTTAGCATTAAATGCACTTCCCGCCAGAATCTAGGTTTCCCGCCGGATTAGTGGGGACGTTCATCCACCCGGGAAGTGAGTTGGATTGCTCCAAGTGTACCCTTGAGAGATATCGGCAGTTCGTCTCCTGGCCTTGAATGGTATTCATCATGCGGACTGGGTTTCCCCGATGACTACAGGCTTGTCCTGGGGACGTTCGTCGCCATCCCTGGTGGCCCGTGGTTCTGCTCCTTGTCCCTGCATATACGTTCGTCGGGATGAGCTGCTGGGCCTGAGTCCCCCAACACCAGACGTTCGTCCATCCTCAGGGAACATGGGCCCGTGGGTTGGCCTAGTGTTCTAACTGGACGTTCGTCTAGCAAAATGGGTTAGTGGGCCGGACCTCGGCTTGGGCCCTTAACCCAACAATAACATAATAAAGTTAAGTGATTAGTTATCATATACTTCGTATGATTAAATGTGATAATTATAGCATTCATGTTTGTTAATGTATATGTATATATGTATTTTATACACACAAAAATACAATATTACTTATCATATTTATGCAAAAATATAGATAAAAATGCAATTTCTGTGTCTCCGACTAGTCCCCGACTAGGCGCCCGCCTAGCCGCCTAGGCGCTAGGCACTGGGTTGGCGCCCGACTAACGCCTAGCGCCTTTTAGAACATTGAGTGTAATTTACTTAAAATTGGAGAACACTAATAAGTATAATAATTAAAAAAATTAATCAAACCTATTGATTAATTCGTAACTTAAACGGAAGTTCAGAAAGAGTAAAACCTATTGAAGCTCTATATTGCATTAACAGGAAAGAAGAAGAATCTTCACCTTAAAAAAAAGGAATTTGAGATATAGAAACAAAATCTAAACTTACCTTAAAGTGAGGCATTAAGGCAGTGGATTTCGGCCTCTGGAAGAACTTCACGTTTTGATTTTCTGGTAGAGAAGAGTTATCAAGGAATATAATCAAAGACGATGCAAGACAAAGATGAATTTGACAGATGAGCGGGATAAAAGAAGGAAAAGAAACAGGAAAAGGAAGAAAGGGAAGGAGGGGTGTACGAGAAGGGAGAAGGGGCGGATTAGAGGAGAGGGAAGAGAGGGGTAAAAACAAAGAGTAAATTTTTTCCAATTTATAGTGTGTACTAATGTGTACTAAAGTGTGTACACAAAGTCCTTTTGTTAGAACAATTAGATACGGAGTATAGTTCACTGAATCTATTGCACACTTCATTTTGTTCAAAGTAATCATCACCCAATCGTGCAGCCGGCGGATCTAAGAAGCACCTGGCATGGAGCCAAAAGGGTAGCCATAGATTGCACTTTTCATCTTAACTGCTTAACCTAGGAAGCTTTCTGTACACAATGTGTACTACTCCCTCCGTCCCTTATAACTTTGCCAACTTTCCTTTTTTGGATGTCCCATTAACTTTGCCATTTTCCCATTTAAGTAAAGAATTTGTGGTTCCAGTTAATTCTCTCTCCTCTGCACAAACCTCAACCACACAATTTTTACTTTATTAATCCCCGTGCCGGTCAAACTTGGCAAAGTTATTAGGGACGGAGGGAGTAGCAAATACTGCACTTTTTCAGCTTCACCCAATAACCATGAAAAGGAAATCAAACAGAGTCAATGCTGAACTTCTTTGAAGCTTTGTTAGTTGACATAAAAACCAACCAGCACATATTTTACATGACAGAAAAAGAAAGGTAAAAGGGGAGAAAAGAAACCTCAGAAACCAGAAGCTATTTCAAAGGTGTCTATCTTAAAGCAAAAAACACACAAAAAGAACTACAGAACAAAATTCTAGGTTTCCACCCTGTTCAAACACCAACTACCCACCATGTCTTCCAATCTTCATTGCTCAAATTGGATCCACTGGAATCTAACTCGACCCGGGTCCGACAAATTGGGCAATTGGGTACTTTCCCGATCCAAGAATCCACACATTTCATATGAAACAAGTGATTGCAAGCTGGCAACTTTCTACACCGTTCATCTTCCTTGAAGCTGTCCAAACAAATCGCACAATCCTTGGCCATCAGGCCAGAGGAGGAGGAGTAGCTGAGGCAGGGCAGGCGGTCCATCAGATCCGGTGCGGAATTGGGCGGAGACCCTTCAGCGGCTCTCCCGGGATGTCGCTCTCGGCGACGGCGGCGGCGGCGGAAGGCGGTGGTGGTGAGGAGAAAGTGGATGAGGATGACGGCGGCGAATCCGAGGAAGATGAGAAAGAGGGAGAGAATAAAAGCCATGACGGCGCATTTCAAGAACACGAAAAGGATCTTTCTTGGGGTGGAGATTGCGTTTGGCTTAGGCGGCCGCTCTTGTGCCAGGTCATCTCGGTTGATGGGAATTCCGTGGCGGCGGCGATGCGGCGGATCTGGATCGCTGTAAGGAACGATTGGCATGTGGGTTGTGGCGGCGGCGGATCAAGATTGAACGGCGATGTGGGTCACGGGGAGGAGAGGAACGGAGCTTTTTGAAGGGATAAGAGAATATGGCGGTGTTGAAGATATTTTCCTGTGCTCGGAATTTTATATTAACGCATAATATTAAAGAAATAAAATTTCCCGTAATGAGCAGGAGGAAATCAGGGTACTACGAAGAACCGAAGAAGATGGGCGGTACACAGTGTCGGGAAGATAGATAGGCCGTATGGGTAGGCCCGAAGATGGTCTGACAAAAACGAAATCCATTCGTACCAAATCCATTAATTAGCTTTCAAGTTAGGCCGTTGGGCGACTTACCCCATGTATATGATCGAAGGCCAGCAGTTACTGACTTACTGCCAACCACGCACGATCGTGCGTCCCCTAGGTCCGAAAACAGCATTTCAGCATGTTTTTCGCCCCAGTTCAACCCCGACTCATCTGTTTGCTATAAATAAGGTCTCTCTTCTTCTGTTTAAGTGTTACGAGTCAGATACAACAAATTATAAAACATACAACACACGTCTTCACAATCACATACATAACACCTACTCTCAACAACATAAAAAACACCTTGTAAATACCCTTTACAAATCAAATACAAAACCTTACATTCATAACCGGTATAACACAGTACAATCATCCAATATTCATAACAAGTAATCATCTAATATTCATACTCAAACACATCAAGACAACATACAAGAGTTTACAAAAGAAAATACGTAAATTGTTGTAAATTGTTCCTACAACATCTACTGTATAAGAAAAACTGCAATACAAAAGACAAACCACAAGTTCCCATCGTCAGCTTGGTCATGGAGATGTTGCTGCTCATGTCTACGCCTACGTCGTTGTCGTGGTTGAAAAACCACTCTCTCATGTTGCGTCTGAGATGATGAAGCCGCCGCTGCACTAGACGTGGATGGCATCTCCTGAGATGGGGGCATGTGTATAAGATGTCCGTAGTCGACTCGGCCCAACACATCTGAACACAAGGAGGCAATGCCTATCAGAGCCTGTCCATACATGTCCACATCATGAGTATCAGTCACTATGGCGGTAACCCGCTGATGTATGCGCTGCAAAGCTCGTGTCTGGAATATGAAACACAATTACAATTACATTGAAATACATACAAGTATTACATAAATAAAATGACTTACTTTACTAATTACTAATATACTCACCGTAAGATGCAAAGCCAAAGAGCTAGGCTGATAATGATGAGTAGGGAGTCTGAACGAAGGAGACACAAACAAACGAGTGATGCTGTAATACCATCCCATGTAGTCTCCTGAAACAGATGGGGCAAATGTCGGTGTCCCAGTCACAACTAGCTCAGCTCGCCTTTCCCACATAGTGACGTATCAGACATGTCTGAGTGCCCAATCCTCTGTATGTTTCCCACGCCTATCTAGCCTATGTAGCTCAACATAAGTGTCGATAGGCCGTGGAATGACCTGCTCAAACCCAAACTGTCGCAAGACTCTATCAGGCAAATGAAGCTCAACAATGTCAAAACATATCAACGGCACACGTGCTCGCCATATGTGACTACGCTCTCGTCCAGCTGGGGGCAACTCTGCAAACATCTCAGGTGTATACGACATCCATGTAATCTGTTTCTATAGATACAAAATTAGTATTTATTCTATGCATATTATAGTTAATGTTATATTACCCACACCATACCTGATCCTCAGATAGCCGATCAAATGCATCCATGTACACACCTAGCCCAGTAGCGGATGACATGCGAGATAGACCAGCATATAGCCATCTAACCATTCATGTAACATTATCATTAATATGGATATTATTAATATATTTACATTCAACATACAATCACATAAATACCAACGATTGAAAACATACCGACGGCCTAGAGGGTCCTCGCCCCGTACATGATGTGGTCCTAGAAGACGTGGAGGCTCATCAGGCAGTGGGTGTCCATCAATGCCATGATATGCGACTATAATGGGACGCCCAATGTGGATATACTCCCATGACCAAATCTGGAGGAGTAGCAAAAATCCTCCAAGCTCTGTGCTCCCTCTCTGGCAGCCGCGACAAAGCTGTCTGTACAGATAAGCCAGCGTGGCACTACCCCAGCTGAACGGTGCTGCTACATCAAAGCTCTCTAGCAAAAGCAAGTGCAGCACCTGAATCTCATTTCCGCTCTTGTCAGCGAAAATGGAGGCTCCCATCACCATCAAGATATATGCCCGGACATGCTGCTGGATCATCACCTCATCAGCGTCGGGAGGATGCACTTGGAAGTGCTCCCTCAACCATGTCATCCTCAAAGATGACCCGTGAAGGTCAGTCCGAAGAATGGGGCGGATACCTAACAACCGCTCACACTCATCCACCCACTGTCGACAAGCAGTGCCTGTAACATCTCTCCCATCAACCTGTAACCCGGTAAGTAAAACAACATCTCCCAATGTAACTGTCACCTCACCAACAGGGAGGTGAAATGAATGTGTCTCCTGTCTCCAACGCTCAAGTAGAGCAGTGAGAAGCGCTCTATCTAGAGGCACAGTAGCCACTAATCTGTGCAGACTATAAAACCCCGCAGCACAAACATAGCCTAGTACTCTGTCGTCCACGTGCAAATGCGACAAACCCCGCAGGTGCTCGCGGCACCTATCCACCTGAACATCCATGCCAAGCCAAACATCCTCACTCATGTGCGAGGCCTGCAATGTCAGGACAGAATGATCACTCGGCCCAGGATCCGCTGTCACCTCCATGCCTACAAACAAACAAAAATGTATTAGTTATTTTGTCAATATTATATTAATTCTTTTTTTTAACATCCTTTTTTGTAATTATTATTTTTTTTCTTGCGACGAAAACATGAATTGTGAATTACTCTAAATAGAACCTTACCCAGCGGACCCCCCCCCCTCGTGTCTTGACGATCTCTTCGCACATGTGGCTCTATTATGGCCGGTTTGGTGGCATTTTCCACATCTAACCGTTCCTCGTGGACCTTCATCCATCTCATTCTTAATACGTGTCGACTTTGGTCTTTCCTTAGCCCGAAGCATGGATGGATCGTGCACGATTTTGGGTTCATTGTAAGTAGGCCAATAATCACGATAAGGAATCGGTTTGAAGACTCCATGATAAGTGGCGGCATATTGGTCAGATGAGAAAAACTTATCCACAAATGGAGCATAAGACAAACTACGTTGTCTGCACACGGCTAACACATGGGAGCATGAAATCTTATATATCTCCATCCTTTTACAAGTGCGAGTTTTCCGTTGTAGATGGACAGTTTGTTTTCTCCCACCCTTCCCCAACGTTCGGCCACCACAACCGGTTTCCACTTGAAATATACATCGGCCTAAATCAAATGGAGTGACACTGTGATGCTTTGCCTTCTCTGTATTTTTATCAATTAAATCTGTGATGTGTGGGGAGCACTCGTGTCCTTCTGTGAGCCTCATTTTACTGGTTTCACGCCTATTAACAAAATAAGCATTAACCCGGTAAAAAGAAACCTGGACCAAAGCGGTGATGGGCAAATATTTGGCATTTTTCATCACGCTATTGAAAACCTCTGCCAGATTAGAAGTGATGGTACTGTATCTGTACCCGCCATCAAGGTGCAGTGACCACATTTCTGAGGGAAGGTTGCCCAAAAATTGTCGTGTCTCCAAACTCATTTCACCTATCTTCTTGAACCCACCATCAAATTTCTTTTTCTGATGTTGTCGTGCAGTTCAGACAAAAAGATTTTTTAGATGAATGTCTTTGAAATGAGTGTACACATTTGATGCAAGATGGCGGATACATAGCCTATGATGCGCATAAGGCTCCTCCCAAGTAGTGCCCACCTCATTCATTGCCCTGACAATACCTCCATGTCTATCAGAAATGACATACAACTCCAAATTAGTGACAAACTGCCTAATACATGCCATAAACTATGGCCAACTATCTCCATTCTCAGATTCAACAACTGCAAATGCCACTGGAAATATTTGGTTATTCGCATCACAACCCATGACCACGAGCAATGTACCATTTTACTTTCCATACAAGTGTGTGCCATCAATAGTAAGTACAGGTCGACAATGCTTAAAACCATGTATTGATGACTTGAATGCCCAAAAAACTCTTTGAAACTGCATATAACCTGTGGGAGTATTGGGGGGTGGGTACCACTGCACAATAGTTCCAGGATTTGAATGTTGGAGCGCTGTCATGAAACGGGGCAATTCAGAATATGACTTCTCCCAACCGCCAAATATTTCTGCTATGGCTTTTTGCTTCCCCATCCACGTTCTCCGATATGATACCGTATACCCATATTTTTCCTTCAGCATCTCAATGATAGTATGCACTTCAAGGGAAGGATCAGTGCGAACAATGTCAATCACATCTTTAGAGATGAAATCTGAAGTCAAAGCCACGTGATCGGTAGTGTCGGTGTTGCCAACGCACGTACCAGAATGAGGTCCAGGATAACGCACAATTGTGAAGGTGTCAAGGTTGCCTTTGTTCTTTATGGCGCGTATTCTCCAGGGGCAATGACATTCTTTCTTCCTTTTGCATTGTGCCACCCATTTGTGTTTATCGGACTCTATCACCCGATAAAATTGGTTCCGTTTGATAGAATACAAGCTCACCATATTGATGACTTGTTCTTTGTTGTCAAACTGTTGACCGACCTCAAACTCACCATTGGGGGTAAACCTTTTCTCACCTGATCCACTCATCCACGCATCAGTAAAGCCTTCAGGGAGATCATACATTCTAGTAAAGTGGCTAGACGGGGCAGTTTCCGTGACAGTATCACCATCATCTTCATCAGATTCTGTCACGTCATCACCATTGATGTTCTCGTCAGCATCATCATCACTTCTCTGCCCATCCACAAATGATGCATCGTTGTGCAAATACCTACCATCTTCCTGTATAACCATGTCCAGTACAGGAGCCTTTGAGAGTTCCCTGCATTCACCCCTGCATTGACAGCATGCGTAGATACAACAGCATTTGATGTTGATTGGGTACCATAAGCGTCACAGGATTCCTCAATGTATATCTCCAGCGTCGACATATCCTCCATCTGAATTATGCCCCACATATTTGTTATAGCTAGCTCATCAATGAGGGGCATAAGCATGTACTTTCCCAGTTCATGGGAAATTTCATTTTCAACTGCAAAGAACGGCCAGCATGAATCATTGTGGCTGCATGTATTTTTTGAAGGATCTCGAGCATGCAAGCACCACGAGAAACCATGACAAAGCTGGTTCTACCACCTTCATGGCATATTTGCCCACCATTCTCATAATAGTTCCCTCCCCAATGACACACGATTGGGAAGCTTGAGAAATCCATATTCTAATAACAATTCATTGTCCAACATTCATGAGTAGGCATCAATATACACACTTTATACACATTCAAATTTTCAATAGAAAAAGCTACCAAAATTGTAATATATCCAAAAGTCAATATCTACCTTTCAATACCCAAATTTAGCTACATTCAAGTCTACCCAAATGCCCAAATGTCAAAATACACATTAAAATTAACAATCAATTTAAAATCAAATTTCAACATTTCATACATATCCACATTTCACAACAACTGAATTCACAATCAATTCATAATCCAAAAATTTGAAAATTTTTAGATTCAAAACCCTAAGTTCAAAATGAGATGAAATGGAGTTTGATTTACCTAGAAGAAAGAAGAAAGAGTGATGAAGATGGAGATGGAGGTTCGCCGGAATGGGCTCGCCGGAGAAGGAGGTTCGCCGGAGTTGGAGATGGCTCGTCCTTCGTCGGTCGTCGGTCGTCGCGCGTCCTTCGTCGCTGCAGCAGAGGTTTGGGGATTTAGGGGAATAAACGCGTTCTGTCTGCGAACCAACCCGTCTGCCTATTTAATAGGTAAGTCGCCCAACGGTTGGGCGACTTATAAGTCTCCAAACCGTTTGGCGACTTATAAGTCGCCCAACCATTGGGAGACTTACCCCGACCCTGGTTAACCCAGCAGTATATTGGTAAATACTTTTAACCCAACCCTATTTTCGTAATTATTTAATTAATTAACATTAATTAGGAAAGAAACTCAATATTATGGAGTACAAAAATCACTACAAAAAAACATTGATTTTGTCAGGGAGTTTAGTCAGGGAAATTGTCCCTAACAGGCTTGTCAGGGATTTTGTTAGGGATTACAGAAAAATTCGGTCAAACAGTATTGTCAGGGAAATATCCCCGACTAAATTTGTTTGGGATAATATCCGTAACAAAATCCCCGACTACACCCTCAACCCGGCCATCGGCCGGAACTTTTTGGCCGGAATATTTGTAAGGGAAAAAATCCCTAACAAAATAGTTGGGAAAATAGCCGTTTGATTTTGTCAGGGATCGTATCCCTGACAAAAGTGAAAATTTAATATTGTCACGGATTTTTCCCTGACTACATAAAAATTATACATTTTACAATTGTGTCACGGATTGTTCCATGACAACAGTTAACGTTGGAAGCAATTTCGACCGTTACACATCCGTGACAAAATCCGTGACAAATATTACCGTTTGATAAAATCCCTAACAAAATCCCTGACAAATTTTTCTATATATACTAGTCATTTTAGCTAGTTTCATACCATTCTTATGGTGTATAATTTTAGAGAGTATTATAATGTGTTTGTGGAGTGATCAAAATGACGAAATTGGATGAATTTCTAGAGGCAAATGCGTGTTTGAAATAATAAGGTATGTACATGTATTTCTTTGGGGTTTTTTTTGTAATACATGTCAAATTGAATAGGGTATTAGTTTATTTAAAGCATTACACTTGTTATAATAAATCATTTTAAGTATATAATAGATATTTATGTCCTTAACTAATTGTATCATTATATATAGTTGATTAGTCCATGTATTATGAATTGTTTTAATTCATTTATTAAATGAAGTTTGTGAATATATATTAACTTTAAGTAATTAATGTTAGTGTAGGAATTGAATGGAGCTATTTCTTAATATAATATATTATATATATATATATATATATATATATATATATATATATATATATATATATATATATATATATATATATATATATATATATATATATGTATATATAGATAAATTATAAATTGGATGTACAATGGAAGATATTGCAGAGAATAATAAGAAAGACTAAATATATTTGACATAATTATTTTTTATACGGAGTATTAAACATATGTATAAAAAAGAAAACTACCAATTAGAGTGTTGCTATTTTCTCCCTAATTACATATGATAGTATTTACAATATGATTTTATCTCCGACCAAATCAACACATTTCGCATAATTACATTCAATAAGTGTATAACGTTATATTCGTATACTACGGTATTTTATTATCAATGTGTATTCAATTAAGAGCAAACATTAAAAGTATATTTGGTGGATTAAATGCTAAATAAATAGAAAAATTAGATATTACAATATAGACTATTAAAATAAAAGTAATATGGCTTAAATCATTTATAATAGAATTTTTAAAAACTTGAAATTCTAGTAGGATGAATCACACCTCTAGAAGACAGAAACTCGAAGCTGCTCTTAACATTTTCAAATAGGTTGCCAAACAGGTTTCAAAAGTGGGTGGAGAATTTCAAATTTAGATCATGTGTAGCACTGCTGAGTTTCGATCATGCCACCTGTAGTCATACCGTACGTCCGCCCCTGATCTCATTATATATAGTTAATTATTAGTCCATTATTATTGTATAATTTCATGTATTTAAATTTTTATTTATGTGTTAACTTTTAGTAATCAATGTTAGTGTATGAATTGAATGAAGCTATTTTTTAATATAATACATCACACACACACATATTGGGAATATACAAAATATATATAAATATATGTAAAATGGACATGTATAAATAATATATATTTATGTCGTTACATAACATTATCATTATTTATAGTTCATTATATATTATGCCTAAGTAATGAATAATGTTAGTGTTGCAATGGGGTTTTTTCTAATATAATATGTCAAATATATTCAGGTATAATGTATAGACAAATTAGAAGTTGGATGTACAATAGGTATGATGAAAATAGAGGTTATCGGACAGAATTTCTTGCCGGTGTTGCTGAATTTCTCGCTTTTGCACTTGGACAAACACAATATAAGGATGGTGATAAAATAAGATGTCCTTGCATTAAGTGTAAAAACCTTAAATACCTTTCTTCTCAGAGTGTTGAATGGCATTTGTGGACGAGAGGCTTTGTTGACAATTATTATAATTGGACTTCTCATGGCGAGCCATTCGACCCATCACTTTTACCACAAACAGTAGGTTCATCTCGTCATGTTCCTAATGAAATGGGTGAATGGGGAGATTATGATCAAATGACATGGGGCCATCAAATGGTATACGATATATTTGGTGCTTCAACCTCGCAATTTAACCATAATGTCGAGCCATTGAATAATCCCCCCCAAAGCCAGAGCTCTAATGTCCCACACGGCGATGAGAATCCAAGCTCTTATGTTCCATATTATGTTGATGAATTAGGAGAGAGATTCCAAGATGTCTTAAAAGCAGCCGATCAACCTCTTTATGCCGACTGTGAGGGTCACTCTCAACTATCGGCAGTTACAGAGTTGTTAAACATAAAATCTGAATATAACCTTCCTGAAAATTGCATGTCTAGATTGTTGCAGTTTGTTGGGGGGATGTTACCGCGTGATCATAGTCTTCCCAGTACATATTATGACATGAAACGATTAGTCTCTCAGTTGGGGCTTCCTGTTATAGAAATTGATGCGTGTCCTTCTGGATGCATGTTGTATTGGAAAGATGATGAGATACTAGTTAACTGCAAGTTTTGTGGAATGGATAGATACAAACCTCTTCCACAAACTCGCAAAAAACCGCGGTACAGGTCTGCACTGTCTAAATTATTTTACCTCCCTCTAGCTCCACGATTGAAGCGAATATATGCTTCAAACGTTACTGCAAAACACATGACATGGCATGTGGAGCATGAAACTAAAGAAGGATTGATGTGTCATCCTTCAGATGGGGAAGCTTGGAAACATTTTGACCGTTGTCATCCTCAATTTGCAATGGAGCCTCGTAATGTTCGTCTGGGATTATGTTCAGACGGTTTTGCTCCATATGGGCAGTTTGGAAGCAAGTTTTCATGTTGGCCTATCATGTTAACTCCGTATAATCTCCCACCTGATATGTGCCTGAAGAGTCATTTCATATTTTTGTCTTTAATTTGTCCAGGCCCAAAAGATCCGAAAAAGAGAATAGACATTTATCTACAGCCTCTAATCGAGGAGATGAAAGAACTTTGGACTGTTGGGACACCAACATATGATGTCTCTCGAGATCAAATGTTTATTATGAAAGCTGCCATTATATGGACCATTAGCGATTTTCCAGCATATGGGATGCTTTCCGGATGGAGCACTGCTGGTCTTTTGGGATGTCCAGTTTGTATGGAAAAATCTGGTGCAATCTTTCTTAAGCATAGTCGCAAACCAAGTTATTTCGATTGTCACCGCAAATTTCTTCCGGCCAATCATCGCTATCGAAGAGATAAGAAGTCATTCTTAAAGGGAAGAACTGTACGTGACCCCCCACCCCCTAGGCTGTCTGGAGATCAACTTTTGAATCGTGTTCGACGTATTCCTACAGCTATGGAGTTGCCAAACCAAAATCCTGAAGGTTTTTGCGTTACACATAAGTGGACTAAAAGGAGTATATTCTGGGAGTTGCCTTATTGGAAAGACCTTCTCATTCGCCACAATCTTGATGTGATGCATATTGAGAAGAATGTATTTGATAATATCTTTAACACTGTCATGGACTTCAAAAAAAAACAAAGGATGGTGTAAACTCAAGAAAGGATATTACAGTGTGGTGTGATAGACCTGAACTTGGTGTTGATCCTGAATACCAAGGTAAAACAATTCCAAAAGCAATTTATCAACTCACAAAGGAGCAGCAAATTTTAATATTAATGTGGCTAGGGTCTCTCAAATTCCCGGATGGATATTGCTCCAATTTGTCGAGGTGCATAGACGCAGAAAAACTTGTCATGAAGGGCATGAAAAGTCATGATTGTCATGTAATCATGCAAAGACTTCTTCCAATTGCTTTAAGGGACATGCTTCCCCCAAATGTTTGGAATTGTATTACGGAAGTTAGTTTGTTGTTTCAAACATTATGTTCCACTGTTTTGGAGACTGAAGCGCTCAAAGAACTAGAGAAAAGTGTTCCCATCCTAATGTGCAATTTGGAAATGATTATGCCTCCATCATTCTTTGATACAATGGAACATTTGCTAGTACATCTTCCCTATGAGGCCATTAATGCCGGTCCTGTCTTTTATCGTTGGATGTACCGCTTCGAGAGGTTAGTTACACTGCACCTTTTATAGTTATCCCAACTAGTATATTTTATGGCTGTCTGAATAATAATGAAATTGACTATTTTGTTTATATATAACAGGTTTTTGAGAGACTTGAAAAAGAAAGTCACTAATAAAGCACATGTGGAGGCGTCGATTTGCCAAGCTTATCTGACTCAAGAAATCTCCACATTCTCGTCTTTTTATTTTGAGCGGGATGTGATTACTAAAAGAAAACGACCAGCCCGAAATGACGACATTGGTGAGGACTCATATGATAATGTAGTTTCTATTTTCAATTATCCAGGTAGAGGCAAAGGAGCCGCAACTTACCGCTACATTATCGGTGAAGAATATCTGAGGGCTTATACATACATTTTAATGAACTGTCAAGAAATTGAGCCATTTTACAAGTAAGTGTCTTTCTTAATCGTATTCCCACAAGTTTTACTGATATGTTTTTTCACCAATTCTCTATCGTTTTTCTATTGTAGTGAATTCAGAGCATCACGGTCTCAATTCCCTGATCATATAATTGATGAGATGGTGAATTCCGAATTTGCATCATGGTACCAGAATAAGGTACATTTTATTAAATACTTGTATATTTTATCAAATGTCGTTATCAATTACTATAATGTTATATATATATATATATATATATATATATATATATATATATATATTCTTTACAGATACGTAGCTGTGACAATGTTGACCCCATTCTACAATCTTTAGCGTGGGGACCTACTACTCATGCCAAAGTTTGGCACTCATATGTTATAAATGGTTACACCTACCATACACGCGCTTATGGTGAGGACAGACCCACAATGAATAGCGGAATATGTGTCCCAACAGTTGGGTATGATAATTCCGAAACAAACTTTTTTGGCTTTTTGGAAGAGATTCTAGAACTGAGTATGCCGCGAGTAAAACAAGAACTATCAATTGTTCTTTTTCGATGCACATGGGTTGATCCGATACGAGGTGTGAAAAAACATTCAAAATATAACATCATTGATGTTAATCATTCTAGAGTGTATCGAAAAAATGAACCTTTTATCCTCGCCCAACAAGCTGCACAAGTATATTACGCCGAATATCCTTCGACGCGACAAACACCGAATCCGTGGGTCTGTGCATGCACTATCCGCCCTAGGAAAATTGTCACACAAGCTCAGCACAAAGACGTTGATTTAGATGCTTTTCAACAAGAGTATTTTCAGCCACCGCCTGTTGTTGAAGCTATCACAGATAACATTGTGTTGAGTGATCCAAGCGGGGCAGAAATCGAAGTTGTTCTACCTAAAAATACTTCGTTCCCAATTCCTCAAACAGAACTAGAGATAGTTCAACAACAAGAGGAAGAAGAAGACGAAGAAGAAGACGAAGAAGAATGGATATCTGGTGAAGATACAGAGGAAGAAATTATTTATGAAGAAGATCATGATTCTGAAAGCGATTAATTGATATTTATTGTATTACTCATTCTACGAACTTATTGTGGTACTTGTATTTATTAATTTATGTTGTCAATAATTCTCTATTTTTCTTGTTACTTGTCGAATATCTAATACAACTCATTTATAGTTGTATTCCTCAAGCATACAATTCAAATATATTCCTCAAATATATTTTTAGTCTATTTTAATCTAAAGCATAAAATTCATTTCTTTTTAATATTAAAATTCGAAAATTCGAAAAATTGAAAATGTGTTTCAATAATCATATATTTCTCAAATACATTTCGAATTAATTTTTTTTCAATCTAAATTATAAGGAAATTAAATTATCAAGCATAACATGAGTTTCAATCACAACATGTTTATTAATACGGTATTATTAAATTATCAAATTCATTACAAATGAGTTTACTTATTATACATTTCACTACAGATAAGGAAATGTAATTCTAAATTATTTCAAGCTCAGCAAAGAAAATAACATTACACAGATGACTTTTCAGCGTCGGTGCTTAATTCCCCGCCATTATCAAATCGCTTCTCTAGAACTTGAATAATTTTTTGGCGGCATCAATCTCTTTCAATCATTTAAAATCAATTAAAATCAATTTCTTTCATAACCCATTAAAATTTAAACAATTTAGCCAATTTATAAATCATTTTTCCGTGACACAAAGATAGACCCGTCATGTTTTTTGGATAGCACAACTTTTGTCAAGGCTTAGGCTTTGTTTGCAAACAATTAATTTAAGTGTTTATGGCTTTTTTAAGAAAAAAACATTTATTTTATCAAACAATATCAACTTTTACTTTCTCGATTTTCGTGTAGAATCTACTTTTTACTTTTTTTATTAAACAAAAAACACTTATTTTATCAAACACTACCAACTTTTACTACTAATCACTTTTTTCCAAAAAGTGCTTTTTATTTAAGCATAATCACTTGCAAACAAAGCCTTAGTCTCAGATATTTCCCTAAATAAATACAACTGTGCGGTGTTGTTAGGGATTAGTCAAGGATAAATCCCTGACTCATTTAATTATTTGAAACAGTTCGCACCAACCATTTCTGATTCCTCTGTATGATTGTATCCGACATTGCAGGCCTTAGGAATCCAATGCATTTGTTGGGGATATATCCCTCACACAATCCCAGACCAGAATTAAGAAATTCGAATTTTAAATTTGTTAGGGATGTCTCCCTGAGTAATATTAAACGTGGAAGATTGTTAGGGATTTATCCCTAACTAATGCATTAATATATAAATGATACTTTGTCATTTTTCCACACTTTCTCTTCTCTATGCAACCCTAAAAGCATCGACGCCTCAGCCCTTAGCCCGATCGACGCCGCTGGAACAACCGTCGACAAGAGATAAGAAGACGCCGCTGTGTCTGAAGCTGCTGCCGACGAAGGCCTTGCATGTCTCTGAGTCCGATGGTGCAGCCGTGATATTCCACCGACTTTGACGCCTCTTGTTTGGTATCCATCCACCGGCCCTCAACCCGACGCCTCGGAGTCCGAGAATCATTTCCGCCTCTCAGCACCGGGCCTCTACTGTTCAGGTCACACCTTCCTATTTTTGCTTCATTTATTTTTAGTAGTTATTTTTTTTTACATTCCTATGCCTCTACTGTTCGACTTTCTAATTATTTTAATAATTTCAAATACTTTTTAAAACAATAAAATATCCTTTGTGGACTTTTGTGTTATTATGTCAACTATATGAACACATTTTTGGTGTATTTCGGACACTTTGTTAAAATAAAAGTTTTTAAACATTTTTTTATAACTTCGAATACTTTTTAAAACAACTAAATACCTTTTCGGAATTTGGTGTTATTATGTCAACTGTATAAACACTTTTTTTTGGAGTATGAACCATCTTATAAAACTGTTTGAACCATCTTATGAACATAAAAAAATCCCCCCTTTCACATTAAACTCCAATGTGAAACACCTTCTCAAGTAGTCTATTAAAATAATTAGGAAAATAATAATTACGAAAACACTTACAAAAATCTAAACAACTATTTACGAAAATAATAATTAAAATAGCCATACTGAGAGGCTATTTCGCGCCTGTAATTCCAAATATAATCCCATCTTTAAAATTGAAATAATACCTAGCTAAAAAAAAACCTTTCACATTAAACTCCAATTCTCATTTTAATGTGTTACTAAAAAATTAGTCTATTTAAACATCTTACACCTATTGTAATATGTTACCATAAACACCACAAATAAAAAAGACTTTAATCATTTCAAAACAATACGTTAAACACTTAGTTTAAACAATACGTATTCTAAGAATTAGTCTTTTTTGGATGAATTCTAAGAATTAGTTTAGTCAATATTCCGTATTATTGTTTAATATTTTACCAAAACGTTTTTCCATTTAATATATAACTAAAACACAACATTTCAAAAAAACAGTTAAACAACTAGTTACGAAAATAATAATTAAAACAGACATAATAAGAGGCAAATTCGTACCTATAATTCCAAAAATAATCCCATCATTAAAATAATACTACCTTTATAAATTTTATACTACGAGTAGTTATTTTACTTACGTTTATAAATTTTAGATGCCAAATTCCTCGCGCAATTCAAATGCATCAAATCGAGGCCGCGGCCGTGGTCGAGGCGGAGGCCAAACGTCTCGCGATCACTCGATGGGAGACAATGATGGGTCGAATAACAATTCGGGTCAACCCGACACCCCCCTTTCTGGTCAACTCTCTCATGTGCGTGGGGGTGGGGGTGGTGGAACGTCCTCACAACCTCAGAATGAGCGGGCCGGGAACCAAAGATGGATAACGGCGGAAGAAGTTCTCGGGTAAATTAAAACTTTCGATTCAATAAAATAACAATAATACATGTAAATTAATTAATTTAAATTTTTATTTTATGAAGTGATGGAACAATTTTACCAACCATTGAAAAGATTGTCTCTGGACATTATCCTACCGAGGCTTGTGCCACGTATGGTCTAATATCAAAAAAGTTGCGGACTCAATACTTTGACCAGTTCACGGTAATGTACTAAATTCATATTCTCTATAAATAATGAGTTTGACAAATAAGTTGTTAAATGTGTTAATTAACATTATTTAATTTGATGAAGCACGAATATATGTGGAATCCGATTGAGACGGATGAGATTAGGAAGAACTTTCATACTCGTGCATCCGGTTGGCTCACGTCTACATTTTCCCATGCCCGATCTGACAATACCAAGCCGGGATGGATTACGGATGTTGCGTGGCAGACTCTTTTGGATCATTGGGAGAATAATGAAAGGTTTAAAAGATACAGTGAAGCAGGGAAGAAGAACAGAAACTGCCCAAATGCAAAGAATACCCAATGGCATGGTGGGCGTTCATCAACGTTTGACCATAATAAAAAATTGGTAAGTTGTCCTACTTAATTTGTGAATTTAATAATGTATGGCTACAATATTAAATGTTTTATTTTTCTTTAGGAAGAAAAGATGAAGAAGAAAGTTAGTAGATTGGTACTTTTGAACAAGTGTTGGGCTCCGAAATCTGGGCCACTTCCACCCCGTATTGCCGAGATAACGGTAAGAAATGAATGAAAATGAATATATGTTTCTATTCCTCACTTATTTACTATAATTAAATTATTGTGTAGAATAATTATGAAGAATTGATGACTGAGAAGTTGACTGAAATTGCTGCCGCCGGGGGTGAAGTTGTTGAGGAGGAGATTGATGACGATGCAATCATCGTAGAGGCTGTTGGTGATCCGGTGAAGGGGCGGTTGCGGGGAATGGGCTCACTCTCTCGCTCCATTCTAAGAAAATCCCGTGGCTGTGGTTCTTCTCAATCCGGACCTTCTCGGAAAGAAATTGATGAGTTACGTGAGGGGTTAAAAAGGCAACAGGAGAAAGAAGAAGCCCGAGAAGCTGAAATGCGGGAAATGCGGGCTTTGGTTGTTAAATTATCGCAACAATCTCAAATGGTCATGGTGGGCGGATATAACCAAGGGTTCTCACAAATACCCTTTGGCAGTTGCTATTCCCAGCCCGGCAGTCAGATTTTTTTCACTACACCGCCGGGTGGGATGCCGGGAGGGGGGATGCCGGGGGGAATGCAAGGGGGGAAGCCGGTGGGGCAGCCTGCTCACCATGGTCAGCCCGGAGGTCAGCCCGGCGGTCAGCCCGGCGGTCAGCCCGGAGGTCAGCCCGGCGGTCTGCCCGGCAGTCAGCCCCACGGTCAACCCGGAAGTGATTTTGATCTCCGGGGATATTTTGCGGATCACGATGATGATGCTCAATTATAATTGAGATTTTTTTTTAATGTATTCGAATTTTTGTTACGGAAATATCCGTTGTAAAACAATTTAATTTTTTTTATGTTTTTGGATTCTGGTCAGAGATTCTTCCCTAACAAGTTTGATATATTTGTGCGCACATAATATATATATATATATATATTAACATCAATGGCAGTTTCGTAGATTAAAAATAAACATTTGTATGAGATATATCCCTAAGAAGCTGAATTCAAATTTTGAATATTTCAATGTTGTCAGGGAATTATCCCTGACTATATAATTTGAATACTATCCGAATTTTGAAATTTGATAGGGATGTTTCCCTAACAACGAAAAGCAAATTGCGGATAATTACATTGAATGTAGTCGGGGATTCGAATCCCTGACTAATCTCGCCGGCGACTGGTGCTCATTTATAAAGGATAAATCCCTTACAATTCCCTGACAACGTTTGTCAGGGATTATAAATCCCTAACAATAGTTTTGTCAGGGCGCTGGAGTTACGGATGAGATCCCTGACAAAATCCCTCATAAAATCATTTGTTAGGGATTTGTTGAACTGTGATCCCTAACAACATCTGTGACTATTCCAATGTTTTTTTGTAGTGTAATAAAACATACTTACAGAAATAGAAATATGACTAATAGTTAAAAAATGGGGTTTTCAAAATATTACTAAAATAAAACATATTTGCAGAAATATGACTAATAGTTACTATAATGTAATGTCATAGTAACTTAAGTTTAAAAATAAACATAAGTTATTATGATTTTATTATTACTCTAGGCATTAGTCAAATTTTTGTAAACAATCTTTATTTTAGTAATAAATACTCTCTCTGTCGCTTATAACTTTGCCAACTTTCCTTAATTGGATGTCCCATTAACTTTGCTAATTTCCCATTTAAGTAAAGAATTTGTGATTCTAGTTAATTCTCTCTCCTCTGCACAAACATCAACCACACAGTTTTTACTTTATAACAATGTAATTATATCAATAAAAACATGTTTGCAAAGAACTACATTGTTTTAAATTCCCGATATAGAATTAATCATGTGTGTTTAGACAAATATATCCCAATAGCTTTTTGGACTACCTAGCCCAGCCGCCGCCGCCGGCCTCTGGCCACCTCCGCCAGCTACTGCCCACCGTCCAACTGTCCCTCCTATCACTGCCCACCACCCAACTGTCCCTCCTATCACTACCGCCGGATTTCGATCAAAATTTTCGGATTGAATTTTGGCTAGTTTTACCCCGCCAAGACTCGCCGGAGCTCTATCACCACCGAACTGCCTCGCTACCAACGGACTATCCCGGTTGCCCAAGTGAACTAGAGAGTAACTTATTGTTTAGATTAAGGGTATTAAGGATAGAAATTAATTTTTAATCCTATTTGTGAATGATTTAGGTTTTATTCCTATTCATGCACTTATATTTTGATTTAATCATATTTAGGGTAATTACTACTCCCTCTGTCCCATTGGATTTTGCCAACTTTCCTTTTTTGTTTGTCCCAAAAAAAAATCCACTTTTCTAATAAAAAAACTAATTTGTGATTCTGCACAAACCTCAATCACACAGTTTTTACTTTTCTTATTTCTCACCTACTTTGAACTTGGCAAAGTCCACCGGGACAGAGGTAGTATTTAAGTTACACTAAATTACTGCACTAATGAAATGTTTACTTTGTTAAAATAACATTAGCTTACTAACACGACTGAAGTAAACGCACCTGTAAAATAAAAAGGCGCATAGAAATCTTAGCTTACTAAGCATTCATCTTCTTATGGCCGGTTTGTTTCTGGGTTAACCTAGGTTATTGGAGGTTCAATTTTTAGTTAACCTCGTTTGTTTGTGTTTTTGCGAACTTAGGTTATGACTTAACCTCACATAACTCCCGAGAACCTGGAAACACCTCAAATTGAAGAACCTCTGAATCGGGGGTTTCGGAAGTTAAGTTCCCGTTCAACATAAAATAAACTAGAGTACCTTCATCCAAACAACATTTATGGCATTAACCTAGGTTCACCTCATTTATTTCCAAATACCATTTTACGCATGAACCTGAGTTCACTTAGGTTAACCCAGTTTTTATTAAAACTTAGGTTTACTTTATTGTACTAGGTTTACTCAAGTTCACTTTATTAAGGTGTCGCATATTAGAAATCTTGCTTTCTACTAGGACATTGGTGCAAAAATGATCTTTGTACCCACTCTTATACCCACTTTTGTACCCACCTATGTTTGTGAAATGTTTTTTTTGTCTGTGAACCTCGGTTCACAGACAATATTTTGCACAGACAAAATATTGTCTGTGAATCAGGTTCACAGACAAAAAAAACATTTACAAACATGGTGAGTATAAGGTGGGTATAAGAGTGGGTACATCAAACATTGTTGGACATTGGTGCCCAGATTACTTCCTCCAAACAAGTTATATGTCCGAATTGAAATTTGTACCGGGTTAAGATTTCTTTATCACGTTTAGGGTTTTTCATTAGGAAGAATTTTTAATAGGATCTGAACTTTTTCAAGGAAATGCTCCACAAGTACGTGTTTTTAGATGAAAAGGGGAATGAGAGAGATTACCAGGACCTGCGTATGACTCGATAAACTTAAAGAGAAAAGTTGTGCACAAGTTAATTCGTATGAACTATGAAGTAAACATTTGTATACTAAGCAAGTTTTACTAAGCAATGGCTTGATAGCGCAGAATTTAGTAACGCCGTTTACTAAGAAATAAAGTAAACATGTCGTGAGGAAGTGGCCCAGCCCAGCTGGTCGTCGACTCACTCTCTCTTACGGGAGGTCTCGGGTTCGAAACTCAATGGAGTAAGTTTCAGCCATGATTGCTCCAACCCCCAGTCCCCCTCCCCTAGACGCCCCCTGGAGTTTAAAAAAAAAAAGAGAGAGAAAAAAAGAAGTAAACATGTCGTAAGTATGAAAATGATCGTACACACTCGGTACCAATCCTACATAAGTTTGGGTTCGAGTCGAGCTTCATAAAAGGGCCCTATATGTAGGAGAAATGCTCAGATCCATCCGGAGGGACGGGAACCTCCGTCCGAACTTTGACGTTTGGGGCGGTTCCCGGTGGAATTTTTTGATGAAATATTTTGAGCATGTTCATCATCAAGTCTAGTTTATTCATACCAAATTTCAGCTCAAAATTCGATCGGGAAGGCAGTCAAATCATTTTTTGAAGTTCACCGCACCAAAATATACATATAAAAACGTAGTCAACTCTGCTGCTAGGGATACACAATCTTTGGCCGTCATATAGGCGTTGTGTTCTGCCGAAAAATAGAGCCTCACGAAAGGTGGACGAAAGCCGCATAAGAAAGCTGCACTTCGTCAAAGATGAAAACGGATAAAAACAACCTCTAAACTTAGGGAAGACAACCACACATAGTTAAAAGGACAATATATAAGTTTACTTTTTAATAAGAATACATGGATTTTCAATTCACGAAAGTTATCTCCGCTTAACATTAGTTTTTTCCATTAGTAGTATGTAATCTATCGAACTATCTTTCAATTTTTGATTTATAAGTCGATGTCGTGTGAGTACTTTCTTTGTCATCATTTGATGAATACACTATTTATTTGATTTTCAAAACAATTAAAATCATCAAATGAGGTGCTTTGCGCTTCAAGAATATTTTATGTCGAATTACTAACATTACTTTATGTGTCACCATAAAATAGTTATAACTATTCTCAGTCAAATACCATTACCAAATTAAGTAAGTTATTTCATTACTAGAATTATAAAACAAATCATTTACCCACGATGTAGCTAGAGGCCATGCTGAAAAGAATACATGCTCATATATTTTGTGCTTTCTGCGTTCTTTTTTAATTGCAACAGTCCACTTTTTACGTTTGTCAACGCACAAGTTTGGTCATTAATATTTTTTATTTCTTATTGATAAAAAAATAAAAAATATAAATTTTGAAAATTTAAAATGAGAAGAATTTAACAATATTTTTTAAATTTAATTTATAATACATTAATAAATAAAATAGAGTTAAAGTATAACACGTGAATAGTGCAAAAAGTCCAATGTTGCATTTAAAAGAGAACGAAGCTAGTACTATTCTTTGCGGACGGCACCTAGGGTTTACCCCTAGGTTCGAACAGTTTTTCCGGCAACGACATAGCTTGTCTGGTGTTTGTTTTCAATTGAGGAACAGGGCTTCGCAAGGCTCCTCTTCGTACAGAGATTTTGTAAAAGGTTTTATCTCGAGCAAATTGGATTGAGTAGGGTTTGCTCTTCAGATGCTTCGAGTGGTGCAGTGGCATTTCCTTCAGATTGTTCGTGTTTGTGCAATACTTCGACAAGGAGATGGAGGCGAATCACAGGCGGATCGAAGTGGAACTGTTGGCTCATGCTTTTGGCAGAATGGAGTTGGATGAAAATGATGAGGTTCAAGTGGTGGAAGCCATAGCTCCTGGCATTGCGGTTGTGGGTTCATCGGATAAAAAAAATGAAGTGTTGAGATTCGGCCGCTCCATCAGTTTATCTTAGTTAATTCCGTTTTATTCAAATTTAGTTTGTTGACCTTGAACTCTGTTGTTATCGTTGTTCTTGACTTGAGGGGAAGAAGATTTATGTTTTGGTTTAGGTTGTTAGCCAGCAATTTGTATGGAAGCAATCGGACTGATTTGGCTGATATTAGCTTCGAAGCTCTCGCATGTTCAACGATTAGTCTCACTAAATTTTGGATGGACTACTGTATTTCAGATCAAAGAGTGAGAGGACATGTTGGCTATGTGATGTTTATTAGAGGGGAATTTGGAATGCAATTGTGATTGGGATGTTGGTTACTACATTTAATATAAGTGCTCTTCTTTCAAAAGCTAGTGGCCATGCCGGTGAAGGATGACCCATCTTGTTCGATGAAACAAATACCTTCTGTGAAAAAATATGAATGGGTTCTTTTATTGAACTAATTCCAATATTTTTTCATGGTAAGGGGTGGATCCAAATTTCAATTCAGAGGCAATATTTGTATGAACAATATTTGTACACCCTATAAAAGTTTTTTATTCTCCAACAAGCACCATTTGCCACACCAAAATGGTGTATTTTGCAAAAAAATGCTCCAACAATAGCACCAAACACTACACCATTACACCAAAATGGGGGAGGGAGGATAGCTTCACGCCATATATGGCGTACGCTATATATTACACCATCCCACTTTTTTGCTTTCTTTTTCTTTTAAATGTTACCTTCAAGTTTCAATTATTATAGTTTTGACCCATTTTTAAAATAGCAAATTAGGATGTTTTAGTTGGACTAAAATTGGTTTGTCCGCTCTGGTCTGGTCTGGTCTGGTCTGATTTGATCTGGTCTGGTCTGATTTGATCTGGTCTGATCTGAAATGATGTGGTCTGGTCTAATTTATTTGTATTTTTATAACTACTCAAGTGTGGTCTAATCGGGTCTTATCTGATCCTGAGACAAACTACAGTCCAAGTAAAAACATCCTTATAGAACAACAAATTAAAATTATTAATTTGATAGAAAAAAATATAATAAAATTTAAATCACACAATATTATAAATAAAGTTTCAAATCCAAACAACACTCTAACAGAATACAAATGATACTTAAGGAAATTGCATAATTAAAATTACAATTAATAACACCATTATAATTAAAATTAAAACATAATTAAAAACATACATGGTACATACTAATTTAGAAATTAGTAGTCATTCAACCCGCTTCCAGACCCGCCGAGACCATCAAACAAATTCCCAAATCCAGCTGATGATCCTCCTTCTTGAGATTTTTTTTGTAAAATTCTCGATCTTTCTGCCATGATATACGCTCGCGTTTGTGGATCATGAATAGAATTCAAATCCATGAACATTATTTTATCTTCTCTTTTCTGTTCTTTGTATGCCATATTTTGTCGCTGTATTTGCAATTGTTCTTGTCGATCTAACGACGATTTCTTCAACATGTCTATTAGTTGCTCATTGTCGCTCTTAACCGACTTAAGCAAAATAGTGGTGTCTTCATCATTTTTCTTCTTTAGTTTGGCTTTTTTTACCCCTATTGGGCGTGTTGAAAAATCTGACCCAGAATCAGTATCAACTTCTTTATTGAACGAAGATGACAATCCAGGTGATGAGGAAATTGGAGATGGTGGATGAGAGTCTGATTGGGAAGAGTCGTAATTAACTTGTCTTTTTTTTGGAGCAGCATGTCTTGCAGTTGGCACATTATCTTTAAATTTTTCAAAATTTTTAATCATATTCCAAACATGGTCAAATTTAAAACCCTTGGAATATTTTGGATCTTGCATAAATAAAACTTTAGCACGATCCAGCTGCATATCATAAAAATTAATTTGTATTACATAAAAGTAAATAAATTATTGAAAATTAAAATTATACAAAGTATTATACTTACAATATCTTTTTCTGAAGCACCACTTGGGTTTAAATTCTCAAGTTGCTTCACACACCCATTTAGCTTCCGTGCTTGCGTACTTATTGTATCCATTCTTGAATGCAGTGAACGTGTATTACGATGCTCTTGATTTTGTTGACGCTGTTCGTTGTACTTAGCCTCAACTCGTGACCAGAAATCATTTGCAGATTGATATCTGCCGATGATCGGGTCTTGAGTTATGTCTAAATACACTTGACACAACAAAACGTCTTCAGCTATGGAGTAACTACTTGATCTTGAAGTCATTTTGCTCGCAAAGGAAACAAGATAGAATATAGATTGTGGGATAGAGGTTTTGATGAAGTGTGATCATTCAGGACATCAGTATTTATAGAATGTAGAGGTTGATAAGGAATACTTAGATTATCCAATGGATGGATTTCCTTTTCTTCACAACCATTGGATTCTTATCTCTTGAGATAAGCGTACTACTAGTCACGCACTACTTACAATGTCAGATGCAAGTGGGTAGGGAATCATTACGTTACCCGATGGATGAATTTCCTTTTATTCAAAGCCATCGGATTCTTATCTCTTGAGATAAGCGTACTACTTGTCACGCACTACTTACAATGTCAGATGCAAGTGGGTAGGGAATCATTACGTTACCCGATGGATGGATTTCCTTTTATTCAAAGCCATCAGATTCTTATCTCTTGAGATAAGCGTACTACTTGTCACGCACTACTTACAATGTCAGATGCAAGTGGGTAGGGAATCATTACGTTACCCGATGGATGGATTGCCTTTTCTTCACAACCATTGGATTCTTATCTCTTGAGATAAGCGTACTACTATTAATATGAACAAATTAACACATCAGATGGATCACCACATAGAAAAATGAACTTCAATATTGGAGCGTCCTCTTACATATCATCGTCTTCTTCTTCTTCAGATGATGATGCTTTAGCGATGAACACTATAGCACAACTTGATGAAGAAGAAGAAATCATGATGGTGGCACTAAAAAACAACAACATGACAATAAGTCATTGTATTGGTGAGATGAATACGCCTATTAGGCATGGTGGATCTGTTCATGGTCATGTGGTTATAGACCGTGATCGAGAAATGGGAGACCATAATTTGTTCATGGACTATTTCTCTCCAAATCCACGATATGGAGAAGCATTATTTCGCCGACGATATCGTATGTCGCGAGATTTGTTCCTACAAATAGTTGGTGCTGTTACAAATCATGACAACTATTTCCACCAACGAAGAAATGCAACAGGTAGACTCGGATTATCAGCTTTACAAAAAATAACAGCTGTATTTCGTATGTTGGCATATGGTGTGCCCGCGGATGCAACAGACGAGTACGTTAAAATAGGTGAGTCTACAGCAATTGAAAGTATGAAAAGATTTTGTCGATCTATTGTCCAAATATATGGAGGGCAGTATCTAAGAAGACCTAATGACAATGACATAGCGAGACTTCTTGACATTGGAAAACAACGTGGATTTCCAGGAATGTTGGGGAGTCTTGATTGCATGCATTGGAAATGGAAAAATTGTCCAACAGCATGGGCAGGACAATATTCTGGTCGTAGTGGCTCACCAACTATCATCCTTGAAGCTGTGGCAGATTATGATCTTTGGATATGGCACGCATATTTTGGAATGCCAGGTAGTAACAATGATATTAATGTTTTAGAGGCATCCAATCTTTTTTCAGATTTAGCACAAGGAATTGCTCCTCCCGCTCATTATATTATTCAAGGAAAAGAGTATAATGTCGGTTACTATTTAGCGGATGGTATATATCCAAAGTGGTCAACACTTGTTCAAACAATTCATCAACCACAAGGTAGAAAGAAGAAATATTTTGCCATGAGACAAGAAGCATGTAGAAAAGATGTTGAACGTGCCTTTGGAGTATTGCAATCCCGATTTGCAATTATCGCAGGACCTTCACGTTTTTGGGAGAAAAAAGTCTTACATGACATAATGAGTGCATGTATTATAATGCATAATATGATAATAGAGAATGAACGTGATATACATGCACCGGTTGAAGATGTGAGAGATACACCAGTTCCAGATATTGAAGTGGCAGTTGATGAGGCGGCACGGTTCACTCAATTTCTTAGCCGACATAACCAAATACACGACAAAGACGCTCATATTGAGCTCCGCAATGCTTTAATTGATCATTTGTGGGAACAATTCTCAAATTCCGATAACTAAACTAAGAATGTTTATTTAATCTATAGCTTTAAGTTTAAGTAGTACTTTATTAAATTATTAATGACGTATAAATTATTATAATATTATTGTAATATTTAATTTTATGTGGTTTTAGCTTGTATTTGTGAAATATTGATTATTGTATTTTAATTAGTGAGATGCGTGAAAATACATATTAAAATGATGTATTTTAATTTGTATGTGTGAAATAATGTGTGAAATGTCAAAATATTAAATGAGGGGCTAATATATAAATATATGATAGTTAGATACTTAAATAGAAGAATGGAGAAAAGTTAGTAAAAAGAATAAAAAGAGAATATTCCTTTTTGGTGATGAAAATGGTGTAAACTGTTGGAGATAAAATACTGTTTGATGTGATGTTTACACCATTTTGGTGTAAAAAATGGTGCTAACTGTTGGAGATGGCCTTACCCAACTTTTTTCCTTTTAAGTTTTAACCTTTCTCTTCCCACTCCCCTATGTAACTCTCTTCTGTACACTCCTCTCTCCCTTTCTTCATTTCCCTGTTTCTTTTCTTTCTTCTACACCCCGTCTATCAAATTGTTTCTTTCATCCTTTGATTTCTTTATAACTCCCCTCTACCAAAAAAGCACATGAAGAACGACGTGAAGTTCCTGGAAAGGCCAATAGAGGACACCACTAGCTCACTGTTAAGGATGGCAATTGTGATCAAAATGGGGAAAACCGCATTGATGGGGTAACTGGTACAGGGCGGGGAATACCCGTTTTGTTTTTATGGATAATGGGACGGTTATGGTTTTCTACATGCCCGCCCCATTACTCGTCCCGTTTATTTTTAGTTATATTTTTATTACATTATTATCTATTATTTGTCCCACAACTTCTAAAAAATGAGATTTTTCTCTTTTCATTGTGTTTATATGGATAATAGATGTAGTAACTATAGTGTGAATGAAAGTTTGTAATAGATTTTAATGGTTTGGTTTGATTATTATCATATTTTTTAATAGGTTGTCTTCTTTCTCGTCTTGTAGATATCGAAACTTTAAAGTAGTGTCTCACGACTAGAGTCGTCTAGGCGATGTCATTCTTCATCTATTAAAAAAAATCAATGACACATTTAATAAAGAGATTACCCGTGATTACCCGCAATTATATTGTTACCCGTTGAAGCGGTTATGATTTGACTAAAAATTACCCGTTGGATAATAGGGCGGTTACAGGGCGAGGAAATTATTGACGCGACGAGTATGATTGTATGTAAAATCTATCCCCGATCCGCCCCGTTATCATCCCTGCTCACTATTTAGTTCCTCACTCACTTTTAAGGTAATTTTAAGGTTTTTAATATCTATGACTTTTTTGAAGAAAAAAAATGAGTTTTTTCTCCTTTTCTTTTAATACGAATTAGTTTAAAAGGTTTTATTTTTTTTTTCAGAATTTATGTTTTATTTGTGAATTAACGTTTAGGTTTGACTATTGTAATTTTAACTATTATACGTACTTATATTTTCCGATTTTATGTAAATTATACGGAGCATATGTCTTGATGGTGAAATAAATATATATTCAATTGAAAATATATAGGGGAGGGTTCCAGTGAGATATAGCTTCCAGGAGAGGGAAAAAGAACAACATCTGTCCGTCCATTAATTGAAACGTGCGGCTCGGATGACACGTTTTGGCAATTAAAAAACGTCCATGCGTGATTAAAAAACTGAAACGAGCATTCAGAAACCAATTAAAGGGTAAATGGGTAAAAGGCTATTGTGATTAATTATGACGGTTGGGGCGCACGAAGTCCTATATGGAAACAAATCCCGGGTAATGTGCCGGTATATTTGAAAAGAAAGAGAACTTCCTTCCTTGTGCAGAGTTCTACTGAGAACGGAAAGAGGTCGACGAACTCACTCTAGAAGGCCTCCATTACAATCGAAACCCTAGGAAAGCCTGCAAGAAGGATGACAACGACGAGCGAAGAGGAGAGAGCACCGGAAAGTTCGAAAAGTGCTACAGGTACGCCGATTACCTTGGTTGAATTTGTGATTAAATTAGTTAGATTAAGAATTTTATGTTATGGATTGAATGCATGTCTAAAGTAGACGGTTTAGATGGCGTTTGTTAGGCGATTATCAAGAAAAAGTATACAAAGTGAGATTTTTTTTATTTGTTCGTACATATGGGTAGTATGATGGTATGAAGAATAGTGTTGTCCTCCGTCAGTTCATGAAGAATAGAAAAATAATGAATATTGGGTAATGAAAAGGCTTGATTTTGTGATAAAAAGGCGTAGAGTGCATAGTGAATTTGTGTTTTGTTATTTTGGTATGAATTCATAGTATTGCTATGTCAATGTGCACGAAGTTAAGCTACAAAGTTCAGCGAATATTCAAATAGTTCATCAATTCCGTATATAGCTTTTTTTTAATGCGGTTTTTGGAATATGCATGAAGTTAAGGTATTCTGTGCATACATTTGAATTATAGAGTGCATCAATTAGTCGTATATTTCCTTAACATAAGTTGTTCTGTATTGAATTGGTTTTTTCGATTAAAGTGCATTGACAATTTGTGTAATCAGTGCGTATGTAATGGAAAAAGTGAATGAATAATTGAAAATTTATTGTATTTTCAGCAAGAACAATAATATGAACAACAACATATTATTGATATGTAAATGTGCATGAGATTAAGGTAGTAAGTTTAGCAGATTGTTTATATCATTGGTGAATTGTTGATTTTAAATTGGTCGTTTCAAATGTGCATGATGTGAAAGTAATATGTTCCTAAATATAATGATATAGTGCTTCACTTCTTTGTAATTTTAATGAAAGCAATGTGTATTTCAAGGGGTTTTGGATTAAAGTGAATGGGATTGTGTATTTGAGTACAATACGTGCACTGTGAGTAGATAATTTGTGGCACAACCTATTTGAGTAGTTTTTTATTGAGAAAGAGTGCTATAGTGCATTGCTTATTAAACATAGTGAATTTGCATTTAAATGACAGGGAGTAGAGACACAAACACGGAACCATTTTAATCAGATCAATTCGTATGTGATCAGAATGAACCATTTTCATTTGATACGGGGTTTGTTTTTGTTATATTTTGTTTCATTGAATTTCACTTTTGTGCACTTGATGTTGTGTTTTAGTTGCACTTTACAGCCTGATTACGTGCATATTTATGTGTAAGCTGATGCACCATATAATATAGTTTTGACTAAAATAGTTTCCTTCTTATATGTTCAGGTACAATGTGGTGTTTGGACCTTTTACAGGCGTTGATAATCACATAAAGTGCGTAACTTTTGGAGCTGGATTATTATTGAAAGAGGATGTGGAGTCATAACTTATTGGGTTTTTATTGTAATCTTGTATAATACGTTTCCAAAACTTTGTTATTGTCGTATTCTATACAAATATGTTTTACAAATTTCATTAATGAGTACTTGTTGATGCATCTTTATTGAGTACGCGTTGAATCGGGTCAAGGTGGTATAGCCCTATATGTCATCTTATACACCATTCTATAATTCTATTGCATCCTTAAATGGTGTGTAGTGCATAACATATTCATTCATGAATAATTAAGTAATGCACTATAGACTCTTAATGATGCATTGCAAGTATAATTATACTTGCATATTGTATCAAAATTTTATACCCACACGAAGATTGAATGTACAAACACAATTATGTGTGATTTCAACCATAACATTTACCCACATGAAGGTTGAATGTACAAACACATTCATGTGTGATTTCAAGCATAACATTTGCATTATGCTAACACACATGACGACTATACTCTATGCAATTCTATTATTCCATTCAATTCATACGTCTTAATTGCATATATCTCACATGTTCAACGATGCAACTGTTGCTCACTACACTGCATCATACTAGCTGTTAAGATGCATGTAACATCGTTCTAAAACAGTTGACTTTTGTTAAACACGTTTGCCACCCGAAACGATTTTATATGGTATGCCCGAAATATTTTCATCATACACTGTGTATCAGTGTATGTAAGCCTATAATATATGCAAATCTATTATTCAATGTAATTGTATTATTCAATGAAATTCATATAAGTCCTAATTGCATATATCTCAAACGTTCAATGATGCAAACTATTGTTCATTACAGTGCATCGTACTGGCTGTTAAGATGCATTTAAATTCATACCAAAACTTCATTCAACCAAAACAAGTGTTTGGATTGCACATTCACACACTAAACAGTCACCATACTACAATTAGTCATAATAACTTCCACACTAACATCATGTAAATACTTCTATAGGAATCCACCCACACAATATAACATTTCATAGTAAAATGTAACAAAAACAGATGTTCTTTGAATCAACTCCCCATATGGTGCAATCAGCCTCTCTGATTTGTTTGTCTTTGCAAGTTCTTTTGCATTCATTGTGTTTTCACTTTTGAAGGCAATTCGTTGATCTCTAGCTGCAGGATCACTCCAAATCCTATTTTAGTAACCTCATCTCTTTTATTATTCTTTCTGCCTTATTCATTCTTCCACTTCTCTTTCTCTTCACGCTTACTCCCAGTTTCCCCTATCTTTTCTACTGATCTCAACACCTGCATAGTTACTACGAAAAAAGCATTACTAGATATCAATTGCAATGTATGCAATTAAATTCCAAAAAAAAATATACTTCAATTTGTTTTCATGTGATATGCTTACCTCGTACTGCTTTCTTCCCCCTTTTCTTCTCACTTCGGCTCTTTCTAATTCATCCTGCTGCATGTTACCTAGTAACCTTCTGCATCTTACAACCTTAACAAAGTCTATCTACCATTACCAAAAAAACATGCACCATTACCAAAACAACATGCACTTTGCAGCTAAAATGACTGCATTTTCTCAACTATAACTACTGCATCTTCCAACTATAACTATTGCACCTTACTTATGCTCAAATTCCCAATTGCAAATTCCCCTGTATCTCACATCTTAAACTACGCCATCTTACTTCCCAATAGCAAAACCACTGCATCTTACAAATATAACTACTGCATCTTACATATTCAATAAATGCATCTTACATACTTACACCAGTTTCACATTCCAATTACAATCATATATAATTGATCTACATTCCTCGATTTTAAACTTGTTGCACCTAAATTCTTTCAAAGCTGCATGTAAAATGAACCTTCGCCATCTAACTTCTTATCAAATGAACATCATGCATCTGTATTACAAAAATACACAAATTA